AAATTACTTTTTTAACTATGAAAGCAAACCCATTTTCCCTCACCTTTTCATCTCCTGAGTAATATATCATATGATCATCTGACTCAAAATGCCCCGTGCCAGTCCATCTCATCTCTCCAATGCCTCGTATGTCAATATTTATGCGTACCATTTCTTTCGTAACAAACCTCAATTGTAGTCTGCCTCTTGTAGCTAAGTCAGCTCAAGGTGCTCTGTGTTAAAGGAATGTTGATTTACTGGACATGTAGGTACAGGTGTGGAGCTCAATGGGAGCTGGGTAGGCACAGGGCGGGGGGCAACCACAGGGGTGATTCAGGACACTTTCGTGAACTTCCCTCGGATATCAGCTGTCTAGGTATACTCTGAACATACCATGCTGCTGTCAGTCTCTTATGATGCAGCCAGTATGACTTCAGTTTAAAGTTGTTAGGTACAACTGTCATGTACAACTTCTTTTCCTGGAATTTTCTGAGAAAAAGTTCTTGTTCTTAAACTTCCACTCCAGGATTGACTTCTTGTGGGTTAATACCACTTGTCTTCCATTTGCAGCTTGATCCTGATGGCTTCCCAGGAGAGAAGGATGTGCTCTCTAGGACCAGTGCACAATTTTTGTTTCTTGGCCTGAGGGTCACAGGCCCGAGTCCTTAAAACTATTTCTGTGGCAATGGCGTCCGTGGGGGTTCCTGGCTAGTGTTCCCTGTAGTACCTGGAATAAGGTGTGGATATCAGGAAAGCTCTGCCTCTCTTTCCTTCTCGAGTCCCCAAAACTGTTTTTTTGACAGTGGTCTCCACTGGGGTCCCTGGCTAGTGTTCCCTGTAGTACCTGGGATAGGGTTTGGAGATCAGGAAAGCTCCACCTCTCTTTCCTCCCCAAGTCCCCAAAACTATTTCTCTGGCAATGGTGTCCATGGGGGTCCCTGGCTAGTGTTCCCGGTAGTACTTGGGATAAGGTGTGGAGATCAGGAAGCTCTGCCTCTCTTTCCTTCCTGAGTCCCCAAAACTATTTCTCTGGCAATGGCATCGGTGGGGGTTGCTTACTAGTGTTCCCTGTACAGGTGCTGCTGTGGATGTGCTCACTAAATTGTGCCTAGGAATCTGGAGTACAGCCAGCTGGCCAACTTACTGGAAAAGATCGTTATTTTTTCCCATTCCAAAGAAAGGTGACCCAGCAGAGTGTGGAAATTATCAAACAATATCATTAATACCACATGCAAGCAAGATTCTTTTTTTTTCTTTCACGTTTTAAAAGGTATAATTTACAACACATTCTGTACAAAAGCAGTCTTTAAAAAACAAGAGTGCTGATGTTAGATCAGAAGAAATCCATGGCAGTTGGTCTTCTCTTTGGAGGAGGGGTGGACATCACTTTCTTGGGCGCCACAGGAGTGCTGCAGGGAGAGCTTGTGGGTGTCTTCAGGATGCCATGGAGGGGCTGCAGC